GGGGGCGTATCCGCCATGGCCTCCTGAGTCTCCTGATCCGCCATGGCAGACTGAACTGCCAGCTCCACCATGGCAACCTGAACTGCCTGCTTCGCCATGGCCCCCTGAGCTACCAGCTCCACCATGGCAACCTGAACTGCCTGCTCCGCCATGGCCCCCTGAGCTACCAGCTCCGCCATGGCAACCTGAACTGCCTGCTCCGTCATGGCCCTCTGAGCTACCAGCTCCACCATGGCAACCTGAACTGCCTGCTCCACCATGGCCTCCTAGTCTGCCAGATCCGCCATGGCGCCCGGATCTGGGACCGCCTTTTATTTTTTAGGGAAATTTATTTCCCTATATAAAATTTAAATTAAACCCATTTGGATTGATGTACTCCTCGTCTCTCTCCTTTCCTTGCTCCTCACTCCGTTCAGCAGTGCACTCGTGACAGGTATAGTGTATATTTTGTATATATAATTTAAAGTTTATTGCTAGAAAATAACAAAATCACACAAGTGAGGATTTTAAACTGTATTTTACACAAACACCATTGTGTTAAAATAGACAGAAGAAATTTTATTTTTAATACAGAGACTAGCTTTTCCCTATTGTTTGTAGTTTATTGTATATTTTGTATATTTAATTTTAATGTTTATTTAAAGTTTATTGCTAGACAAATGCAGTTATTTAAAATGGTTTTGGGACCTATTTTGTACCCTCTTAGTGAAAACTTTTTTCACAAAGTCCTTTGCCTCTACATCTGTCAGTCTTTCTCAGTTATTTTTCTTCAACCTCTACAGCCTATTTTACATCTAATTTCTGTTTTTTAATTAGTGCCTCCGAGCAGTGTTTAAAGAGCTTTATATTAGGCGTTGAGCGAACACTTTGACCTCATTCTGGTTTCAGAGGCAGGAGAGGACAAACGGGATTGTGGGTTATGTTCACATACAGAATGAGCTCAATGCCAGTAGAGCCATCAAACTAATTTGTTGTGGCATGTACATGGTAGCGCAGCATATAGATAGTGTTTGTGCTCTCAAAACAAACACAGCGATTCGTTTTTGCACTTTTTCATGCACTTTTGTGGCTCAGTCATGATAGAAATTATTTCAGTTTAAATCAATTTGGTATTGGAATATGTTATGAAAATGTGAATATTTGATATGCCATATCAAAAAGGCATTAAGAGAGGCATTAAAATGTCTTATGATTACTAAGCCTGCAATTATTTAGTAAAAAATACTTTAAAAACACCAATATTGTGAAATATTAATACAATTTCAAATAACTATTTTCTATTTGAATATATTGTAAAATGTAATTTATTCCTGTGATGGTAAAGGTGAATTTTCAGCATCATTACTCCAGTCTTCAGTGTCACATGATCCTTCAGAAATCATTCTAATATGATGATTTGATGCTCAAGAAACATTTCTGATTTTTATCAATGTTGAAAACAGTTGTGCTGCTTCATATTTTTGTGGACACTGTAACACATATTTTTCACTTTTTTTTTTTTTACTGTCACTTTTGGTCAATTTAATGTTTCTTTGCCAAATAAAAGTATGAATTTATTTTAAAAAATCTTACTGTCCCCAAACTTTTGAACAGTAGTGTAATTATACGATAATTTATATTTTTATAAATTTATATTATAATATACCCATTCAGAGGTGTGATACAGTATAGCAAAAAACTATGAGCTCAAGAGACAGTGGGAAGTGGTGCTTATGTGGGAAAATTAGGTTTAAATCATGCCCCGTGACATTTTTCATGCTTCTTTCAATAGTTTTGTTATCAATAAAATGCCAAAACGACCTAAAACTCATTGAAAAACTTCTTTCTAAACTTATATTATCAATAAACTGGCAGGAAGACGTCTCTTTCCCATTCAAGTTTGTCATTCTCTCATGGATTAAACCAAACCTGACCCGCTAGGCTGCCACTGACCAGCAAAATTCACCATGTCAGTCTCAGCGTCTCTGAAATCTAACCAGCCGTGTCTTTATAGTGCGTTGGACATAAAAAGACACAAATCTTGTTCAGCATCAGCTCAAACATTTGCCACACTTCTATCAGAATGTAGCCGCTTCAGATCAGGAATTTCACACTCGAGCTGCGGTCTTTGTGTTACGCTCGCAGTGATCCGTAGGGTGATCTTATCCTGTCAAAATCTGCCACAGTGTCTTCATCAGTACATGCTTCTCTCAAGGCCAGGACTCAATAGCTCTGTTTTGTTTGATTTTGTTCCACTGTTCGCATTGCAATGCATTCTGGGATTTATAATGGTCATAATTATGCTACCCTGTAGCTTTATGATGCCCACTCTACCCACGATGCTTTGCAGTTTTTTGTTGCAGTGAGCAAACTATTTTGATTCGGCATTACAGTAATAATGTCTTGAATTGGTTTTAATGAGTGCCTTGGAAATCTAAAAGGAAAATATATCTATTTTGCACTATATTTGTTCTCTTTCTCAGACAGTAAAAATAGTTCACAAATGTTTCTTTTGAGTTGGTGCAGCTGGAGATTGCTGACCCCAGTGTGTGTGTGTGTGTGTGTCTACAGAGAGGTGTGTGTGAAGCAGGATGGCCGGGTGCACCTTACCGTGGTATACTTTGGAAAGGACCAGATGAATGAGGTCAAAGGAACCTTGGAGAACACATCGAGGTATGGCACATTAATGTGTGTGTGTGTGTGTGTGTGTGTGCGGAAGTGTGTGTACCCACAAAAATAGGAAGAGATAAGGCTGAGGTTATGACTGAGAAAATCACAGTTAAATAAAAAGGAACCAGAGGGGTGTCTTAATTTCCTTCCAGTAATCTCTTTCCCAATGCATTATGGGTTTTTATCCAAACTGTGGGTCTTCAAACTGATCACACACTCAGCCTCTGCTATCAGAAAGTCTACACAGACAGAAACCAGTTTTAACCAGCATAAATAATTCCTTTAATTTATAGATCAAGCAAACTTAAAATGCCCATCTTCATGAATATATTAAAATGCTGAACGAGTTGTATTAATAAAAGATGATGGTGATATACTGAGTAATAAACAAATGCACAGAGGCAACTTGAATTTCTATTGAGATGCATGCATACATTTGTGAGTGGATAAAATGGATAAAGAGATGTAAAATAAATATATTACGTTAATAAGTAATTAAAATAAATTTAAAATAGCAAGTGTAACATCGCTTTTATACAGTCCAATAATTTAATGAATTTTATAAACAAGACATTAATAACTGCTGGTTAAACTAAATGTTATTATATTATATTATATAAAATATGAAATATTACTTATAATAACTAATAATAAATTAATAATAGAAAAAATATATAGAACGTATAAAAATGTACACACACACACACACACATATATATATATTTATATATATATATATATATATATATATACATACATACAACAGTAAAATAATTCTATTCTATTCTATTATATAAAAATAATATGAAATATTACTTACAATAACTAATAATACACTAATAATTAGGGATGCACCGATACCACTTTTTCCAGTACTTGCCCGATACCGATACTTTTATTTTTGGTACTTGCCGATACAGAGTACCGATGCCGATATTTTCATTGCATTTGTACATTTTTAAGATATTGGGTGCAGAAACCAAAAGAGTATGTATAATGTTAGTTGGTTAACTTCATTTATCAAATAGATACAGTCAAACCAAAATCTATTTAGACACCTTCATCTTTTCTCACATTATCACAGTTTATTCGCTATATCCCTACTAATAATAAATAAAATAAAAATATATAGAAAGCATAAAAATGTGTTTATGTATGCGTGTATGTATATAATAATAAGAATAAATAAAAATATATAAAAAGTATAAAAATGTGCGTATGTATATTTAAAAAACAATAACACATTATATTATATTATATTATATTAATATTTCCAATTTAATTTTAGATTTAAAATAATATGAATTAGTACTTATGATAACTAGTAATTCACTAAAAATAACTTAATAGAAAAAATATATAGAAATATATATATTAGACATTTAAATCTATGCAGACAAATATTGTGTGACTATTCGTCATTATCAGTCCCACTGGCACACAGTAAGCTCAGCTGCACTCTCGTGATTACTGACTGGAGGTCAGTGAATCTGCACTATTAGACTGCAGTGACTCTGACCTCCAGCCGGTGTGAAAATAACAGGTCACTTCAGATGCGGCTCGGAGGCAGATGAAATCAACGGAGCAGTAGATTGCCTGGAATCCAGCCAGGGTCAGGCGGGAAACCTCCCTGCATTGCAGCGGATAACATATCTCTCAATTCACAGGAAGAAAATGGCTTTTCTCTTTATGCAGAAACATTCGCATGCGACTGGACACTGAGGTTTTCAGATCTATCTTGCCTGAGCAGGTTTTCCCCACACAGAGGGACACTTTTGGAGAGGATTTGTTGGAGAAATGGGAAAGCAATCATGGCCTTGTAGCTTTCAGGATAGGGGAGGGCCAATAATCAGCACAGCTCTTGTTCCTTCTGTGGGAATTCATTGGCTTCTCTGTGGACCAGAAATCAAGGGAGCTTAATTCTTTTTGTACTTCAGCCTAAGTGGATTCTCCACAATTTCCTGATTATTAATTCCAGCTCTCTTCTGAATGTCTAGAGCTAATTGTTTGTAATTTCCCAACAGTCCTGAATGCTTGTATCTTCATTTCTTAAAGGAATTTACCTTAAATACAACTTAAGTTCTAAATGATTCCATAATTACCATAAAATAAAATAATTTTAATCACTCTTTTATTAAATTCAAGAGCTTTAACAAAAACAAAATCTTCCCTGTTCATTGCCCTCCATTGTATGGCACCGTAACCATGATATATATATACAGGTGCATCTCAATAAATTAGAATGTCGTGGAAATAAAATAATTATTTAAAGATTTTTTTAAAAATTGCTACGGTCAATATTATTAGCCCTCTTAAGAAATGATCTGTTTCACTGCAAAAAATGGCTTATCTTACTTAGTATTTTTGTTTTGTTTCTAGTCAAAATATTTAAAAAATCTTACTAAGACTGAAGTTTGAAGGACAACCTGGAGAAAATCTATGTATACTAGAAACGTGTCCTTTGGTCAGATGAGACAAAAGAAGAGCTCTTTGGCCATAGAGATGTTGCCTATGTTTGGAGAAAGAAGGGACAGGTGCTCAACCAAAAGAACACGTCTCCAAAGTCAAACATGGAGGAGGGAGTGTAATGCTGTGGGGATGTTTCAGTGCGTTTTGAACTGGGAATCTCGTCAGGGTCAAAGGAATCATGAAAATGGAAGACTACGAGAAGATTTTGAAAGAAAACCTCAGGCAATCTGCAACAAAAGATGGTTTGGGTCGACGTTTTGTCTTCCAGCATGATAGCGACTCAAAGCATACCTCACTTCTGGGGTAGAACTACCTCCAAATGAGTAAAGTGAACGTCCTTGACTGGCCTGCACAAAGCCCAGACTTGAATCCAATAGAAAATTTGAGGGGCACACTGAAGACCAGAGTCCATGCCAGGAGACCAACAAATCTGGAGGAGCTTGAGAGATTTGCAACTAACATCAGAGGGCTAATAAATTTGGCCTGTGGACTTTTTTATTCTTGGTTATAATTTTGTTTCTATTTGTATTACAAACGTTCCAAGCTTCCTAAATAAACTATTATGTTTAGAAATGCTGTGTTGAAAAAATCTTCTCTCTGTTAAACAGCACTTGGGAATTATTTATAAAAAATTATGAAATATTTCTAAAAATTTTGTCTTCAACTGTATATAATTATCAACATGTAAAACTAGTAGCAACATGTTATATTGGATCATATGCTTTTATTTAAAAAGTTAAATATCGTCTTATCTAAATAAATTAAAACATCTAGATTTAAAGTTTCTCTCTGTTAAGTAAACACAAGATTAATTAAAAAAATATATAATAATAATAATAATAATAATTTTAATAATTTATTATTAATAATGAATAACTAATAATAATATATACACTATTATACTATATACTGCTTTTATTATTATTTGGAATCAGTTTTTAATTTTATATTTTCTGTTTTTATTTTAATTTTAGTTAAAGTTTTAGTAATTGTATTCTTTTTGTCATTTTAGTAGTTTTTTAAATATATACATATGTCTATATAGTTTTTATCGATTTTATTCAGCCACAGTGATCTT